CAGATAAGGCAGCCTCGCGACGGCGCGGGGCCATAACGGCCGCGCACGAGCGGCGAGCGCTGTGCCCGGAGCGCGGGGCTCTGGCCCTCGGCTCCCGAGCGCGTCTGGCGCCTCCAATCGGTCCGGCGCCGGGGCCCTGCGTCTGTGTTTCCAAAAGTTCCATAGCATTCGCTCGAAATGTGACCGTGCTTATTCGAACAGACATTTGCACAGGGTCCCCAGTTCAGAGGCATAGGGTGCAGCTGAAGGGGTTCTGGGTTCCCAGCTCCTCAGCACCGCCCCAGCCCCTCACACGCAAGTCGTCAGATGTTGGATTTTTCTGTGAATTCTCCCAGAAACCGACAAGGCAGGAACGAACAATGCAGGATCCCCCCTTTCTAATGCGAAGGGCGGCAGGGGGCCATGCGTCCGGGTCTGTGTCCTTTGCCCCTGGACAGCCCCCGACTCCTCGCTGGCCAAGAGAGGCCTTAGTTTCTCTCGCAGCTTTCATAGGGGGGCTCTACACGTAAGATTTGCCATTTTACCCGTTTTTAGGTGTCCCGTTCAGTGGCGTCGGGTACAGTCTCAGTGTTGGGCGACCATCGCCACCGTCCGTTTCATCGACCTAAACAGAAACTGTACCCTTTAAACCGCAGCGCCCCCCCTTCCTGCTCCCCACCCTCGGCCCCTGGAACCTGTCTTCCACGCCTTGTCCTCACCGCCACCAACCACTGCCTCTGCGTCGGCTCCTCGGATGCCTAGACTTTGGGATCTCCACGGCTGAGGTTCCCCCTGCAGGGGCTCCGCCCATCGCAACCGCAGGGGTCCCTCTGGAGGTCGGGTCTGAGCAGCCTGCTCTGGCCCAGGACGCTGCTGACTCCCTGAGGCCTGCAGGCACTGTGACCATCTGGGCCCAGGTGGTCTCTCCAGCCGCGGCTCTGCCCATTTTTCAGCCCGCAGCCCATCCAGCCCCCGCGCGCCTCCTAAACATGGCTTGCTGTCACCCGGCGCCCTGCCCGTGTGCACGCTGCCCCCTGCCTCCCTGGCCCCCGCCAGGCCGACCCTATCTCCTCTGTCAAACAAGATTTCTAGTCAGCCGTCTGGACTTCACTTTCTCTCTGGCATCATTAGACGGGCTTTCTTGTCTCCTTCTTCCATTCAGTTAAATTTAAAACACACATCGATGGCCCCTAAAGCCATGAAGTTTGGCACCACTAAAAGTGGTGTGCCTCCCGATATGACGTAACAGGGAGTGTACCCCCAAGGAGGATTTTAATTCTAATGTGGCCTCCAACCTCACTACCAGTGCGGTAGAAAATGGAAGAGAGCGGATCAAAAACTTCTTGAACGTGAGACATTCTACAGGCCGATGACCCAGTTTCATGAACACTTGAATGGGGAGGAGGAACTGTTCATGCTAAAATGATTTAAGACAGATACCAACCAAATGCAACGTGTGGACCCGATCTGGACACCGATTGGGACAGACCAAATGCAAAATACATTTTTGAGACAATCCAGGAAATTTGAACATGGATTGGGCATTATGTAATATTAAAGCAATGCTGTTAATTTTGTGCGTTGTGTTAAAAAAAAAATCTCTTATCTATTCAAGATACGTTCTGAGGCGTTTGTGGCTATAATG